GGAAGGAAGTGACTCGAAGTGACTCGATGGACAGGTGGAGAAGAGGACGACAGCTCCGCCGGCGGCTGCATCACCAGAGGCGACGCCGCCGCCGCTGTTGCCGCATTTGCGGCACTCGAATGACAAGTGGGAAGGAAGTGACTCGAAGTGACTCGATGGACAGGTGGAGAAGAGGACGACAGCTCCGCCGGCGGCTGCATCACCAGAGGCGACGCCGCCGCCGCTGTTGCCGCATTTGCGGCACTCGAATTACAAGTGGGAAGGAAGTGACTCGAAGTGACTCGATGGACAGGTGGAGAAGAGGACGACAGCTCCGCCGGCGGCTGCATCACCAGAGGCGACGCCGCCGCCGCTGTTGCCGCATTTGCGGCACTCGAATGACAAGTGGGAAGGAAGTGACTCGAAGTGACTCGATGGACAGGTGGAGAAGAGGACGACAGCTCCGCCGGCGGCTGCATCACCAGAGGCGACGCCGCCGCCGCTGTTGCCGCATTTGCGGCACTCGAATGACAAGTGGGAAGGAAGTGACTCGAAGTGACTCGATGGACAGGTGGAGAAGAGGACGGCAGCTCCGCCGGCGGCTGCATCACCAGAGGCGACGCCGCCGCCGCTGTTGCCGCATTTGCGGCACTCGAATGACAAGTGGGAAGGAAGTGACTCGAAGTGACTCGATGGACAGGTGGAGAAGAGGACGGCAGCTCCGCCGGCGGCTGCATCACCAGAGGCGACGCCGCCGCCGCTGTTGCCGCATTTGCGGCACTCGAATTACAAGTGGGAAGGAAGTGACTCGAAGTGACTCGATGGACAGGTGGAGAAGAGGACGACAGCTCCGCCGGCGGCTGCATCACCAGAGGCGACGCCGCCGCCGCTGTTGCCGCATTTGCGGCACTCGAATGACAAGTGGGAAGGAAGTGACTCGAAGTGACTCGATGGACAGGTGGAGAAGAGGACGGCAGCTCCGCCGGCGGCTGCATCACCAGAGGCGACGCCGCCGCCGCTGTTGCCGCATTTCCGGCACTCGAATGACAAGTGGGAAGGAAGTGACTCGAAGTGACTCGATGGACAGGTGGAGAAGAGGACGACAGCTCCGCCGGCGGCTGCATCACCAGAGGCGACGCCGCCGCCGCTGTTGCCGCATTTGCGGCACTCGAATGACAAGTGGGAAGGAAGTGACTCGAAGTGACTCGATGGACAGGTGGAGAAGAGGACGGCAGCTCCGCCGGCGGCTGCATCACCAGAGGCGACGCCGCCGCCGCTGTTGCCGCATTTGCGGCACTCGAATTACAAGTGGGAAGGAAGTGACTCGAAGTGACTCGATGGACAGGTGGAGAAGAGGACGACAGCTCCGCCGGCGGCTGCATCACCAGAGGCGACGCCGCCGCCGCTGTTGCCGCATTTGCGGCACTCGAATGACAAGTGGGAAGGAAGTGACTCGAAGTGACTCGATGGACAGGTGGAGAAGAGGACGGCAGCTCCGCCGGCGGCTGCATCACCAGAGGCGACGCCGCCGCCGC